ATGACAATGAAATGTCCTTAGGTTAGACATCTAAGAAGCCAATTAAATAGATCATCAATTAAACTTTAGGATTAATATTAGCCTGGCGTATAGGTCCTAGAAACACTTGCATCATGTCACAAAAAAGGAAGGTGAAAATGAGATTTTTCTTTCCCCCGGGTAATGGTTACAATGGTTTTGATGTGTGAGTGCTGGGCGATCAGACCCAACACCGCACTGGTTCCTGTCCACTCATGAAGAATGACTATTTCTTTAGGGTTCTACCTCCTAAGTGTTACCTCTTATTTGGCATTTTATCTCTTTTAGTGCCTCCTCCCAGGGCTCCTCTGTTTCTCAACCCCCATTTATGCCCTCCTACTTGCTATCAGATATCCATATTTTTCAAGCCCTCCACCGAATTTCCTCCCCAGTAAATTCTCCTTTCTCTAATTGATTATCTTATTTATTTTTTTGTGAGAGGTTTTTGCCATAAGGTGCGTGCACTTGCCATAAAGAGAGAGACAGAGAGAGAGAAAGCAAGAAATCGCCCCCAGGGGGAGATGGCCACACAATTCCTTCTCCTCCATTCTCCTCTTGGAATCTTGGGCATGCACGCATGCACACACACACACCCAGAGTGAGTTTAAGCCACCGAGTCTGGGACTCAAACTGCAGTCAACTACATGGGAGTCTAGTGACATAGCCATTACACCAACTGCTGGTCTCTATAATTATCTCAACTAGGGTGCTATGAAGGAAAAATATTTCTTTAAACTGTTATCATTTATGACAGTGAGTGAGCAAATCATCCAACTCTCCCAGGCATCTGTATATATTTAAAAGAGAAGGTGTACTGAATTAATGATCTCTAGTAGAATTTAGGACATTAGCGCAGTGATTGAAAAAAATACAGAGTGGACAGAAGATATTTTTTGGACTGGAAAGATAACCAAACGATGTTTTGAATGTTATTAATAAATATTTGTTAAAGGAATGATTAAGTGAAAGCAATTACACCAAGACAACTCTGTCTCCCCTGGGGTCAGTTTGCTTAAATGGCTTTTGTTTTGGTCCCATAAGGCTTTTTTTCCTCACATACACAATACAACCAGAAAGGAGCAGCACAGAAAAGGTGGTGCTTAAGGGAGAAAAGGCCAAAAAATACTGTAATTGTATACACTGTATTTCACTTCAAAACAAGTTTGGGCATTTTAAGAATAGAGAATAAATTTGATTCTTCAGCAACAGTATACACCAGATATTATTTAAAATGGTTAGACAATACTGTATTTTGGGGAAGAGCTGCTTGTTTTAAAACTCTGAACATTCAAAATTTTATTATCATTTATAGCTTTCTGAAAGAGTAACACCTGGGGTTTGGCGGAAACCAGAATTTCCAGGTGGAGATGAAAAAGAAAAATGGAAAGCAGGATAAAGTCTCAAACCCTATTTAGCACTGGAAATCACCTGAAGTCCCATTAAACCATACTCTGGGCTTTCCTTACCACACAGATCTGATTAAATCTAAAGGGGTAATGGTTACAATGGTTTTGATGTGTGAGTGCTGGGTGATCAGACCCAACACCGCACTGGTTCCTGTCCACTCATGAAGAATGACTATTTCTTTAGGGTTCTACCTCCTAAGTGTTACCTCTTATTTGGCATTTTATCTCTTTTAGTGCCTCCTCCCAGGGCTCCTCTGTTTCTCAACCCCCATTTATGCCCTCCTACTTGCTATCAGATATCCATATTTTTCAAGCCCTCCACCGAATTTCCTCCCCAGTAAATTCTCCTTTCTCTAATTGATTATCTTATTTATTTTTTTGTGAGAGGTTTTTGCCATAAGGTGCGTGCACTTGCCATAAAGAGAGAGACAGAGAGAGAGAAAGCAAGAAATCGCCCCCAGGGGGAGATGGCCACACAATTCCTTCTCCTCCATTCTCCTCTTGGAATCTTGGGCATGCACGCATGCACACACACACACCCAGAGTGAGTTTAAGCCACCGAGTCTGGGACTCAAACTGCAGTCAACTACATGGGAGTCTAGTGACATAGCCATTACACCAACTGCTGGTCTCTATAATTATCTCAACTAGGGTGCTATGAAGGAAAAATATTTCTTTAAACTGTTATCATTTATGACAGTGAGTGAGCAAATCATCCAACTCTCCCAGGCATCTGTATATATTTAAAAGAGAAGGTGTACTGAATTAATGATCTCTAGTAGAATTTAGGACATTAGCGCAGTGATTGAAAAAAATACAGAGTGGACAGAAGATATTTTTTGGACTGGAAAGATAACCAAACGATGTTTTGAATGTTATTAATAAATATTTGTTAAAGGAATGATTAAGTGAAAGCAATTACACCAAGACAACTCTGTCTCCCCTGGGGTCAGTTTGCTTAAATGGCTTTTGTTTTGGTCCCATAAGGCTTTTTTTCCTCACATACACAATACAACCAGAAAGGAGCAGCACAGAAAAGGTGGTGCTTAAGGGAGAAAAGGCCAAAAAATACTGTAATTGTATACACTGTATTTCACTTCAAAACAAGTTTGGGCATTTTAAGAATAGAGAATAAATTTGATTCTTCAGCAACAGTATACACCAGATATTATTTAAAATGGTTAGACAATACTGTATTTTGGGGAAGAGCTGCTTGTTTTAAAACTCTGAACATTCAAAATTTTATTATCATTTATAGCTTTCTGAAAGAGTAACACCTGGGGTTTGGCGGAAACCAGAATTTCCAGGTGGAGATGAAAAAGAAAAATGGAAAGCAGGATAAAGTCTCAAACCCTATTTAGCACTGGAAATCACCTGAAGTCCCATTAAACCATACTCTGGGCTTTCCTTACCACACAGATCTGATTAAATCTAAAGCAGGACACATCTGTATCTTTTTCTTTTTAAAAAAAAAGAATTATTTATTTAATTTTATTTATTCATTCATTTATTTTAATTTGACCAGAGAGAGAGAGAGAGAGAAAGTGAAAAAGCAAGCCATCAGGTTGGGGACTCCACCACTATTGACCATGTGGGAGTGTCCAGCGTCTTAACCACCAGCTGGTCCCACATCTGTAGTTTTAACGGCGGTCCTAGGTGATTCTGATAGCAGAGGGCCTCCAGAGTTATAAAATCTGGACTAGAAAGCAAGGAAAACTGAATTAGCGCCACACTGCAGGAACATAGTGAGAGGACAGATCCCAGCTGTATTTACAAGACATTGTAGAATTGAAGGCTTAGTGATTTATAATAACTGAAAACCCAGTTAGTATATGAAGGTAAATGGGATAATACTTATGACAAAATTCAGAAGGATCAGGTTTTTGTATTTGTTTTTAAGTGGGGTTGAGAAGTAAGAGATGTAATATTACAGACTTCAACTCTACTTAAAGTGAATTTGAGGTGTTTATGAGACTGCTGGAAGAGACGTCCAGAAGACATTCACAAATATAGCCTAGAGGTCAAAAATGATGTCCGGGAAATGGAGACACGAATTAGAGGATCATTGCTATCTTAGTGGTAACTGAGAGTTGACAATGAATTAAAAAAACAAAAAACGACTCATCTGCAGACTACAAATTCTCTGTGCTCCTTAGCGAGAACTGCATCAGCTGAGTGTCGAGGGTAGCAGAGAAACTGAAGTGGACCAACAAAATCCCCTTAATCTTGGAAACCCACTTAAAGACAACATCCGGAGCCGGGCCAACGCTGGAGCAAGCGTCTAATTGGGGGAAGTCGAATGGATGTGACTTCCACCCACAGCTCCGCGGCGCCGAGATCTTCCGGGCTGAGTCCTAATTCGTCAACAGGTACGGAGCGGAGCGTTAAAACACTGCGGTCCGAATCCCCCACCCACTTCAAGGGAAGGAAGCGGTTGGGCTGACCAAGATGCGAGGTCAAGCCCCGGGACTCCTGTCCATGGATTCTGTGAATCTTTTCGCCCTCCCGGGACCCTCTCAGCAGGCCAGTAATAGCACTCACTTCTCGCAGGGTTCGACCCAGCATGGTCCTGGTGCTCAGCCTGCCACCACTGGGGCCAGGGAACAAGCAGGAAAGAGGTCGGCGCCGCACCGTTAGATGGGCGCAGCCATCTTGTTTCGTCACTGACCCCTCAGCACCGAGCACTCGGATTGGCCCAGCTCCCGCCCGAGGAGAAGATCTTCGCACGTGAATGGTTGGCGTGGAAAGCCTCCTGGCGGCGCAGGAGAGCGGGCAGGCAAGGAGGCTCCGGGTCGGGGTCGCGGAGTTTGGGTTTCTCCCGACAGTGTCGTGATTGCGAGCGGTGTCAGCTAATGCTACCAAGGGCACCCGGGACAGGCAGGGATCTCGGGGTTGCGCACCTGGGCTTTTTTTTTTTTAAAAGGGGAGAAGAGTGTAAGGAAGGAGGACGTACAGGACACGGGCTGGAACATTAATTGGAGCGTTTCAGATGTGAAGAGCAGCAGCAGAATTTCATATCTTTTTCCCTCAGTAGCTCCATTAGGTCAACATCATTTGCGAATACACAGATTTGAAATTAGCTAGTGTGTTTGGCAGAATTTGACCGAATTCAGGGAGAGCGTTTCATCCAAGTGCATTTTAATTGGGGCACGCACTTCAACTGCAGTTTACGATGGGATTTCTGAAGACCTGTGTACTTGGAAGACACGCACACACTGCAGTTTGCTTCTGGAGAAGCAAAGTTGTACAAAAGCCGTCACTTCGAAAGATTAGGACTTCCTCCCCAAGGAACAATGTCATGCCTGCTTGGGTGATAGACAAGTACGGGAAGAATGAAGTGCTTCGATTCACTCAGAACATGATGATTCCTATCATACACTATCCAAATGAAGTCATTATCAAAGTCCATGCTGCGAGTGTAAATCCTATAGACGTTAATATGAGAAGTAAGTTTTCTAAAGACATTCTGCCTTTTTATTTTTTAATCAAATTTCATTAGACATGCAGTTTTGAAAGAGCAATTGTTACTTGACTGCAGTTTTTTGGTTAACACAAATTTACAGTTTAGGTTTTTGACAGTGCATATACAAATATTTCCAAATTTTAAAAACTGCACTGACCAGGGCATACTTTAAGCTGTGAACTATAATTTTGATTGATTGTTTGCATGCTTCCATAAAACGTAAATTAGGATTTGAGAGTTGTATCTACAGCCTTTTGGTGTACAGTCCTGGGAACTTTGTGTTACTTTGAGACCCATCACAAGTGTCAGAAGTGTGGTTGTGTTTCCACATCGTTCATAATCTGCATTTTTTCTAATAATTCTTGTCCTCTTTGCTCTCCCATTTCTCACAACGCATTAAGGCTTTATTGGTCCAGTAGATAAAGCAGCAAGATTCTACAGTGTGGACTCAGTTCTTTCCTCACGTTTACTGTTGAATTGTGCCCTCAGCAGTTAAAATAACTTTTGTATTATGCTCCATCCGGAATTGGGATAATATCTTAATTTTGCTTGACGATATTGACTGATCTTGGAGAGCACTGTACTCCTTGCATATTATACAATTATGCTTATTGTAGTTCTGAGAAGATTGATTAGCATTTGTGAATTACTTTAACTTTGGAAAATAGTGACCAAAATATTGTGCTTGTTTATGGGAACTCATCCATGTCTTCTGAAGAAATTAAAAAATGTCTTCTGGGATGATTAATCCCTGTGAATTACAAGTCAGTTAATCTCAGTCTTGTTAGTTAGCAGCGGTTTGCAGTGTAACTATTGGTCATTGGTTTAAAGGGCTTGTGTGATGTGTAAACCTACAGTTATACTCAACATAGTGTCTTAATTCTTGTATGTGACCTATGTGTCAAGAATTAAATTTGTTTATATATGTGTCCACTTACAAAATTAATGATAGAGTGAACCATTTTGTGGAGTGTATAGATAAGTATGAAAATGTTGAGATTTTGACTCTTTGTTCTCTTTCTTTCCCCAGGGAGTGGTTTGATGAGGATAGCAATCTTCAAATTTTTGGTTTCAACACCTCTTTACAATAAAAATTATTGGGTTTTTGTTTCTGTGAACTGCAGCTGTCTATATTTTCCTTATTAGGAATTAGAACAAAATTTAAAATATTTATTAAAAATACAGTAAACCCCTTTTGGGTTAACATTACAAAATTAAATCAGGATAAAAATATGTAATGTCCCCAGTGATGACTGAGAGCCAACTATATAAGTGAAGGAAGCAAAGAAACCAGTAGTCTGTAAAACATAGGATCTACTTTCAAAGAGTTTACAGTGAAAAATGAACACTTTCCAAAATAAACAAACAAAAGAAGTGTACCATTGTTTGAGGAGGCATTTGCATATCTCTTCTCTGTCTGGTTTAATAAGACGACCAGATTTTCTTGTGCACTTCTGTATTCAATCTTTTCTTTTTCTTTTCTTTCTTTTTTTTTTTACATACTTTCACTGGATATCGCCACTGCATACAAAATGCCATTTTCCAGCCAGAATACACTGTAGAGTGGCTTAAACATATATGTTATCATCAACAAATAATTTTCCATTTCTTGTTTTTTGTATATATGTTTCTTGTAATATTTATATATATAGATATATAAAATATTATCATGTTTAATATATATAATTAATATATGGATATGTT